CCAGCCTGGTCTCAGCCCTGGGCTTTATAAGGGCCAGGCCCTGCCTCCTACAGGCAGCTGGCTCCCCTTAGTTGCCCCGGCGACCTGCAGCTGGGCTCGTTACCCTGGCAACACTCAGCTGGGTTCGTTATGACCTGCCAGGGCTCGCTCTCTCTCCCTGGCAGTTTCTCCCCTCTAGGAGCAGAGCACTGGGGTGCTCTGCGACAGTATGTATTTAACTATCTGTGCATGTCCTTGCTGATCCCCTTATTGTTTCTGAGGCATTTGTAGAGCAACAAGATGGTTTGGTATGCTTTCCTTTCAAAGAACTTCGGAGAACTCTTCTTCAGTCACCGGTCATCTCCACAGCCTGCCTTTTGTAATTCTCACATTCCATCATAGTAACACCAGCTCTGTCTCACCAAGTTTGTGGAAACATACAAAATGTTTGCCAGTATATTACTTTACCCTAACCACTTCGTACCTGCAATGAGAAAACCTTTGTTTTAGCAACCTCTGATACATTTGGAAATATATCTGATGTTCTCTGTTGAATCAATCAACACAGGACTGATGACATGTTTTAACTAGCAACATTCTCTCTACTGATATGCAAAAGGCCTAAATACAGGATACAAGAAATGCATTTTGGAGGCAAGGGAATAGGGTACTACTGTTTCTGAACAGCCAGCAACTGGCATTTGAGAAGGCATGGTTTGGTAATTTGATACAGAGCTAGATATGTATATAGTTTTATTTGAACTTACTTAATGTCTTCATGGCTTCAACCTAACTCTTATACTACCAATTTACTTAATGTAATGTATAGAAACCTCTGGTGGAACAGGCAAAGATCAAATGGGGCCTGAAAAGATTTCTGAGAGAGAGTCCCCCAGTGGTGGAGAGGTGTGGTGTTGGGTGACCCAAAAAGGATTTTGTCTGGAAATCCCAGTCTAACCTCAGCCCTTATTTGGTGCAGTTTACATAGCACACAAGCCCATGGGGCTATCAGGTAGCTGACTTACATGAGAAAACCAAGCTTCAGGTTGGGCAGCATCCTGCCCAGACTTATTCGGGAGAGTTCCCTGGTTAGGAAAATGTGTGGTTTGAGGTGACCCAAAGTGGGTTTTGCCTCATAATCCCAGCCCAAAATAAACTCTTTACTCAGCACAATGTACTTAGCAAATAGGCCTTGAGGGGTAGGTGGTGGCAGGCTACCTCTCAAAAACCAAGCATCAGGCCAAGCAAGAACCTGCCCAGTCTTCTTCAGGAGAGTCCCCAGGTGGTAGCGAGGTGTGTTTTGAGGTGACCTGAAAAGGATTTTGCCCCATAATCCCAACCCAAAATCAGCTCCTTATTGATAGGAATGTAGGGGGGGTTGTCAGTTGGCAGACTGGCACGCAAAAGCTGAGCTTTAGGTCAGGCAGTGCCTTGCCCAGCCTTCTTCAGGAGAGTCTCTTGCTGGTGGGGACACATTTTGGGGTGACCCAGGAAAGATTTTCACCTGTAATACCAGCTGAAAATCATCTTTTTTTTCAGTATTATGTAAATAGCACACAGCCCCAAGGGCTATTGGTTGAAAGGCTGGCACACAAAAAACAAGCTTTGCATCAGGCAGGGGCCTCCCCAACTTCTTCAGGAGAGTATCCAGGTAGTGTTGGTGTGTGTTTTGGGGTGATGTGAAAAGGATTTCAGCCCCTGATAATCCCAGGCCAAATTCAGTTCCTTTTTCGGCACAATGCACGTAGCACACAAGCCTGGGGAGTCATTCAATTGGCAGGATGGCACTAGAAAACCAAGCTTCGGGTTGGGCAGGGGCCTGCCCAGGCTTGTTCAGGGGAGTCCCCCAGTGGCAGGGATGTGTGTTTTGGGGTGACCAAAACAGAATTTTGCCCAATAATCCCAGCCCAAACTCATCTTCTTCATGGCAATGTACATAGCACACAGGCCCCAGGGACTGTCAGTAGGCAGGCTGGAACGCAAAACTGAGTTTCCGGTCGGACAGTGCTCTGCCCAGGCTTCTTCAGGAGAGTCTTCCAGTGGCGCAGACCTGTGGTTTGTGGTGACCTGAAGTGGGTTTTGCCCCATAATCCCAGCCCAAACTCTGCTCTTTATTTGGGGCAATGTACCTTGCACACAGGTCTGGGGGGCTGTCAGTTGACAGGCTAGCACATGAAAACTGAGCTTCCGGTTGGGCAGTGCCCTGCTCAGATTTATTCAGAAGTGGTGTCTCCTGGTGGTGGAGATGTATATTTTGGGATGACTTGAAAAGGATTTTGCCCCATAATCCCAGCCTAATCTCAGCTCTTTATTTAAGGTTATGTACTTGATGCATGATTATTTTACATTTGTATTGGTAAATATAGTTGTTGATTAAATTCTAACTCTTTAGTATATCTAATTCATTACTAAACCTGAAATTGTGTAATGCTTATCTTTGAAAAAAGAACCAGAAACCCAGAATAAGGAACTAGGAACAAGGAACAAACTTCAGCCTCATATGCCACAAGTGTATTTTGCTCAACGTTTTGTAAACAGGGAAGGTAACAGCAGAAACCACACACAAGCAGTGCAGTGCATCCTCTCAGAACAGACTGCACTAGTCATAAGATGCTAGTAACAAAGCTCAAAATTCCTCCGTAAATCTGACTGAAGAAGGGATTCTTCCATGGCTGATTGTCTCTAGAAGGGGAAGGAGACTCACTAGGCAGAGAAAAATGTGAGCAGGTAGCCTGTTAGCCCACCCAAGAATAGATCTCACAGGTTTTTGAGGGGTTGGCCTTCTCCACCACAGTGTAGCGACAGGTGTTTTTGTTAAAAATGCTCACACATGTCTCTCTGTCATAATCCCCTGGTTCAATAAAACTGTCATTAGAAAAGAAAAGGCATACATCAGGTTATATTAGCAGGACTGAAAATATAGCTGACCCAAAGACAAGGAACGGATCTCTTGGTGGAGCAGTGATTTTAGGACAGGGGTGGGCAAAATATGGCTCGTAGGCCAGATCCAGCCCACCAAGTAATTCCATCTAGTCCATGGCAGGTCTCTGGGCCCTGCCCAGCCCAGACACAGGGGGTATCCCAGGCCATGGCATGTGCAACCTATCCCACCACCCCTGGGAATGGAGGTGCTCCCTGGCATAGCCCACCCTATACACACACACAGCTCTCGGGCATACCAGGAGTTGTAGTCTGCAGGGCTGGGCAGCAGGGCCGTGGGCTCAGCTTCCCAGCATCCCCTGCTGCCTCCTGGGAATAGGTGCATACCCTGCCACTGCTGCCACCACTGCCGACTCCTGGCCCCATCCAACATGCACGGGGCCCAAGGCAGAGCTGTTATCTGCTCCCCACTCCCCCCCGTGGCAGGCCCCGTTTCCATGCCCTGTGGTTCCCCGTGGAACTGGCACCCATCACAGAGACATCAGAGAGTGGATTGCAGCTCTGACCCAGGTCCTAGCCCCATGCTATCACTGCCGTGCAATCCTGACCCTGGCCCCAACCACCTGACTGACTCCCAGACACTGCTCTCCACCCACCCGCAGCCCCATACCAGCCACCCAGCCATGCATGCCCTGCCCATGGGGGTCCCAGGCCCATCTCAATGGAGACCCCACCTGTGCACCCTGGCTAGGATAAATTGGAATCTCCTCAGTTTTCCCCCGCACCTCTCCCGCCCCCATTACACAGTGTAAACAACTGTGACGGGGGGACCAAGGTGGGATCCAAATAATTGCCCACCCCTGCCTTAGGAGTTTGCCTGTTTAAAGGAGATTGGAAGAGTGTTACTGTGGTTTTCATACTGCCCATTTTACCTACTAGGTTTGTTGAACTTACATGGAGCAACAACTTAATCCATGCCAGCTGCAGTTACATCTGTGGCAATCCTCTGTTCTCCAGTTGGTACCAGACTTGTGTATCTTTCCATCTCGAACACAACCTGAACACACAGGGTATAAACAAAGATCTACTTATAAACCTCAGTCTTTATGTCTACCAATTTAAAAGTGTCTTTAGAGTCTGAAGGAGAGCAATGAAAATCATTAGAGGTGCAGACAACATGACATAGGTGGCAAGGACTGGGATTATTTAGTATAAGGAAGAGAAGAGTGAGATGGGATTTAGCAAAAAAATTTAAATACAAAAAAAGTGGTTTATAAGAAGGATGCTGATCAACTGTTCTCTATTTCCACAGGGGACAGGACAAAAGGGAAGGGGCTTAAACTGTAACAAGGGAAAATTTAGTTTAAATATTCAACGGAACTGGTTAAGCACCAGAACAGATTGCCTGGGCTGGTTGTGGACACTTAGTTAGTAAAAGTGTTTAAGTGTCTGTCATACAGAAGTGTGTCTGGGATAGTTTAGACAGGGAAGTTCCTGATTTGAGCAGGGGTTGGACAAGATGACTTTCTAAGGTCCCTTCCAGGCTTATTCTTCTGTGAGTCTTACAATTAGTCTTTGTGTAGATGGTAGTAAAGCTATGGTAATTCCACTCATGTGGCCAGTGGTATAATTTTTTTAACTTGACTATTGTTTTTGAGAACACAACCTTGTTTTCTCTTCACTTTGTATGCCTGTATGACAAATCTCCTATGAATGTGAGCCAGAATATTGCTAGATTCCAATTCTTTGGAATGCCTTTAAATCTGCAATCCAATCCAATGGGAGCTGTGTGCAAAATGACAGCAGCAGCATTCCAGCTCCTCCAAACCATTTGTAACCACAGTGCTGGACTTCTTCCATGGAAGAGAATTGATCTTATTGAGCACTTTTACATGTACTTAGAGGGGGGAGTGCTTTAATTAGAGCTGCTTAATTAAAGCGCCAGACAGTCCTATGTATCAGCATCCCCACGGTTCAAAATGGCATCAGGGGTACTTGAACTAAAGCTCATTTGATAAGCTCAGTGAGTTCAAGTCCCCCCCACCCCACCATTTTGAAGCATGGGGATGCTAATACATGAGACGCGGGGGCTGCTAGAGCACAGTAATTACCACACTCCAGCAGACTCCAGAAGCCTCCATGCTCATGTACAGGCACCCATAAGCTCTATCAACATTTAGTGATTCTAAATACGATGCCATGAAGATAAAACACAGAGGACAGAGTCTAGCTATCATGGACACCATCACTACATAGACAGTGAACATGTATGTGTTACATACTTGACCCTTGTCCACTGTGCTGATGCTTATGTTTTCTTGCTTCACATCTATTGCCTCCCATTTTACCTGCATAGTGACCTGGCCTCTCTGATATACCCCTGTGGCTCTCTCTTTCACAGCCATCTTGACTAAGCCCACTAGAAATCGGCTGATAGAGGCTAATTCAGAGTTTTTACAAATTCTTACCTTCCGTAGATATTGCTGGGTCATTTGCTTGAAAAAAGCAATATGTATCACATAGTATTACCAAGATGCCAGTGGCAAAGAGGAAACCCAGGAAGCTCTTCTGTAAGAGAAGACCAGGCCCATAGCATAATTTAGATGGCATTTGAATTAAAATGGTCAGAAAATATCTTTGTTAGCACTGAAAAAAAGGGAACTGTTCCAAAGAGTATTAAAATATTAGTGTATGACTTTCCATTTTCCTTAATAAGAAATTAAAAAAAAAAGAAATATATAGTCCCATTAGAAGTGACACTTGGTATTATCCCAAATGGACTCCCAGCTGTGACGTCCTCTGCCATGCACAGACTCATGATATTTAAGTACGTAGTTACAGAGCAGAGGCATAACTGGGTACTTGAGCACTCTGGGACACAGCTGCACGCAGGGCAGCATCAGTGTCTGAGCTGCTGCTGGCCCGGTGGTGGCACAGCTGCCGGCCCGGTGGTGGCACAGCTGCCATTCTTTTCATGGCCCCTCTCTCCCTCCCTTCATTGTTATGCTACTGGTATAGTGAAATTGAATCAGGCCATCAAGCCATTTGTTATAAACCAATCTTCCTTCACCTAACTCACAAAACCTTCACTTGCCAAGAGACTGCTTAATTCTGCCCTCTGCCGTCTGTAACTTGTGGGGTTTCATGGCTGTAAATGAAGACAGAGTTCAGGCTTAGATTCTAACACCTGTAATGGTGTGTACCAGAGGTCTTCACCTTGTTGGATTGGTTTCCCAAATAATTGATCATAATTAGAAAAAAAAGTTTCATCACACTGATCACGTGCTCCTTTTTTCCAGTCCCACAATGCTACATCCATGGCATTGTTCACTGGAAATTCCCACCCCCATGGAACCACAGAGAATTTGGGAAGGTATTTTTAACAAGGTAACCCAGCTACTTTAGAAGAAATGAGGGCACTTTGCCTTTTAATTTTAAAGTAAGTTAAATAATATGCAAATAAATTTAAAAGAGCATAACATCTTATAAAGGAACCATTGGCATTAAAAAACTACTGAACCATAGTAAGTTAATTTATCTGGGTTTCAGAATAATTGCTGCACAAGAGTAAGGGTGTGGTGAAACTTTTTTAAAATATGGTTCCTCTATATCAGTGATTCTCAACCTTTTGAGACTTGAGGCACCCCTTGGAAAATGCTAGCTCTAGGTTTTGCCATATTTTTTTACCTACAGAAAATAGAGCAGTTTTTCTGTTGCAAGGAACTCAGAAAGATCATAGCTATGGATTTCTATTTGAAATCTCTGGGTTTATCTTGTGAATTATGTTTGCACACCTAACAGTACTAACATTGTGTGGCATCGTGAAGCACCTTTGAAAAGATCTCAAGGCACCCCAGGATGCTGTGGCACCTTGGTTGAGGATCATTACCGCATGTGGCTTGGCAAAGCTAAATGCTGTAATAGCAGGGTATGTTAAGGCTGATGAATGAATAGTTGTGATTTAAGAATAAGAAATTCACTAAAAGTTTCAAATTACTTTCGGATTTGTAGGATAGTCCCATTTTAGAGTTATTTGGAAGGGGAAAAATTAACAGAAAACATTATCAAGGCTTTCATTAATTAAGTACTGAAATAAAGAAAATACTTCCCAAAAAGTTATGATAAAAAAAACTAAAAAGATTTAAAAATCTCTTACAAAGTGTCAACAAAACACTATTTTTACATTTGAAAAAAATTAAGTAGTTCTAGTTCATGCCTTCTAAAATTTCTCCAGTTCTGCAGAAAGAGAAGGCCAGACTTTTACTGGGGCTCAGTATTATTGATAGGAATTCAGTCTCCAGGGCAGAAAGCATAAACAAAAGAAAGCAAACTTTGGAAACCAGCAATGGAACATGAATACTGTATTTGCAACAATCTGTTTATGGACAAAGCAAATTTAATCCTTCAGTGTTAAATAAAAATTCTCAGGAAATGAGACAATGGTAATGCCAGTAACCTCTTTCATAGCAAACATCCCTAGTGATCATATTTAGGAAGATACCCATTCTATAGACATTGGAAAGCATCTAATAGGATAATCCAATTATATCATACATTTAAAATAGAAATAAATATGTCACACAAGAAAAAAGACTTACCATTGCTGTAAGTGTATTGCCTCCACACTGTACACCTATTCTGTAAGACAGCTTGCTTTACAGTGAATTCTTATACCCTGTGTGCACAGGTGTTTTATAAAGCCAAGTCCCTAAACAAACAGACCACATGAGAGTAGCTCGTATACAAAGAGCTGCAGACTGAATCTTCATATGTAGATGTCACTAGAATATGACCAGTTACTAAACAGAAGTTTAGATTCAGAGTAGGCTCAATGAAATCCTGCTCCAAAGAGTCCCAAATGAAGAAGGATTGGTGTGGAGGGGCAGGAAAACTCATACCTTGAGGGTCCTGTTAGCAGGCCAGCTTGGGGACTAACCCAACTAGCGCATAGAATGTGTGTCCACATGAGACGCTTTACTGTGGAGCAGACTAATTAGCTGCACAGTAAAACATCACCATCTACATGTGCATGGCAAATAGGATATGGTAGACTAATCTACTGCACTGCGGGATAGTCCCGTCAGATGCAAGTAGTATCCAGTGGCAAAGTAAATTATACTGCTTAAACACATGTGTAAACAGCAGGGGTGCACGTGGTGGTGTACCCCCTGCAAAAAGACTCCACTGACACTGTTGGTGGTGCCAGCGGGCGGTCGCCAGCAGCGTCTGCAGGTGGTCCATGATCACCCCCGCTGCTGCCACTGCTGCCGGCAGCACCTGCGGGGGGTCGCTGACCCCTGGTCAGTGCTCGCCACCCCCCCGCGCCACCGCCGACAGGCCTGGAGGCATCTGCAGGAGCTCCCCGCTCACTGCCGCTACACTTCCGCCACTGCACTCCCGCTGGCACAGCCATGGCCCCCCCAGCCGCCAGGGGCACACCGTTCATGGTAAACAGTGACATCAAAATTAGTTTACAATTCGGCTCAAATGGAGCCAGAGTATATTCAGTCATATTAATTGCACGTGTAGACATACCCAGAAAGCAGATATTGTTCCATTGCTTCTGTCTCACAGGTGTTCCATAAAAAAAGTTCCTGGCAACTTGAGGAATCTCTGTACACAATTTACAGACTTTCCGTATATACCTGTGCCAAGCTGCCAAATCCATTTTCAATGTGCATCACTTTTCCTTCTGTTTTCTTATTACCTCAGTGTTGGGCTGAAATTCCAAAGGGTGCTAGCATAGTGAGAAGCCTTGCATATGATGATGGTCCTCAGCTGAAATGCAGGCATCCCATACAACTCGCTAGTTCCCCTTGTTAAGAGCAGGATTGTCAGGGTAGAGATCAACTTTGCAGTGATGTCACTTAGGAGGGCTGCATGATCCCAGAAGAGCTTGATTTGGGAATTGCCTGATAGAATGACCAGAAGGATATAAAAGGGCATGAACAGATCCATTCCTTTCCTTTAGCTATTTCTATCAGCTGAGGATGAAAGGAGCTGCAGCAGTACTGTGAGGAGACCGGGGGGGCTCTGCCCCCCGGAACACAGGGAGAACCCAAGGGCTGTCAAGGGATGGGTGAGCTGGGGTGAACAGCATCACCTTCATGATGTCACCTGGTTTCTAAATGATCTGTAATTTCTCATTCTCCAGCTGTAAAGTACAGCAGTTGAAACACTGCAAAGCCTGTGTGTTTGCATGCTTGCATTGTCTACATGGCTCATGACCGCAGGGATCCTGGTTTTCTCTGATTAAAAAAACAATCCAAAATTTTCCAATTACAAAAACTCAAAATCTGTATTTTTCTGCAATTAAAATGAAATGCCACTGTACATGTAGGAGTCAGTTGAACACAATGTTTTGTTAATATATTTACAATTTTCAAGTAATTTGGAAGCCTACCAGTGACTCAATCATTATAATAAAGTAAATTCTAAATATCTATATATTTTGGTGTTTGATTTTGTTTTTTTATCATGGAAAATCAGAGCTTTCTCTGCTCCCTTTGCTCACCAAGATGCAGGTCCAGCTACAGCTGTCTCCACACTCCCCACCTCCCCGCCCCTGCTGCTTTGTTGTGCTGAGCAGTCCTGATAGACCTGTGCCTCTCACTCCCAACCCACAGCCCTTGCCTACCCCCCATTCACTCTCTCCAGGCAGCAGCTCACCAACTGCATCAGGATGAAGGTCCAACTGGCTGTGCCCCCTGCTGCTTTGTGGTGCTGAGCAGCCCTGATGTGCTGGTGCTCTGCCCAGTGGCGTACCGACAAGGGGGGCAGTAGGAGGCCATGGCCCCTGGGTACAGGGCTGTGGTGGGGGCAAAGGCCAGCCGCAGGACCAGAAGCAGTGGCAGTGGCGCAGAGAAGCACTTCCAGTTTCCAGTTCCTCCCGCCCCTCCCCGCCCTGCCCCTCCCCTCCCTCTCCCAGTCAGCAATCAGCCACTGCAGGACCCCCACCCCTGCTCTGCGATGGAGGGAGGGGGCGCAAATGTAAGCATCGGCCCCCAGGCGCTGGAGACCCTCAATACATCACTGGCTCTGCCTCTGGCCATGCCAATGCCCCTCACTCCCAACCCACATCACCTACCCACCCCTCACTCACTGCCTCTTGGCAGCAACTCTCCCCTGCACCAGGACATAGGTCCAGCTGCAGCTGGCCCCCCTGCTGCTTTGGGGCTCTCAAAAGTGCTGGCCCCTGCTGTTCTGTTCCCTGCATCTATTGTCATCATCAATAAGGGCTGAGTTCAAGTTTTGGGGGGTCCCAAATAAATTTAGCATTAGCTTGAGCCCAAACCCAGAAACCTGGGACCACTAGATTTAAATTGGGGTTTCCTGAATGAACAAACTTCTCCCTTTCAAGCAACATACCAAGAAAAGCCAGATTTATTATAGGACAAAGGGGAAAGAAACAAAAAGTGTGGGTTAAAGTCCTTTTGAACTCTAAGGCTTAAGTTCTGTAGTCCAGTCCCACCTGGGCTCTCCACTGTCCTCAGACCTCCCAGTGCCACTCACTCATTCCAGGACCCCCTGCCCCAGCTCCTGCTCCCTGAGCCTGCTGGGACCTCCACCTCCCCCACAGTCCCATCCGCATTCCACCAGATGTTACCTGGCCAGCAGAAGACTCTCTGGTCTGCCTTCTGGCTGAGTCACATAGACTGCTAGCCTCAGCTGTAGAGCAGGGGTTTGCATCCACCAGGCCATGGCCCAGTGTTGGGCTGCAAAGGGTTGGCTGCCAGTCCACAGGGGGCTGGCTGTCATACCAGAAGTGGCCATGGACTAGGAAACCATGGACCAGCAAACTGAGGTCTGGAAGTGACTGGCATACTGCAGACCAGCAGCCAACTCTTTGTGATCCAGCACTCATAAAAAAGGGTTGGCTACCTGCCCGCAGTATGCCAGTCACTGCTGGTCCACGGCTTGCCAGTCTGCAGTCACTTTCAGTATGCGGCTTGCCGGTCCACGATCACTTCCGGTCCGCAGTTTGCCGGTCCTCAGCACAAAAAAGTTGGGAACCCCCACTCTAGAGGGTCATGGGACTGGCCTGATTGCCAACTGCTCCCCTGTAGCCTGCCTCATGCAGAGGCTATGTACAGACAGTCAAAAAGCCTGAGGCTGAATCAATTCAGTCTTTGCAGGTTAGTTTAAAATGCACAGATTAAATTGAAACAGAAGTGAACAGACATTTACCTTAGATTCAGGAATTGCAACCACAAGTCTGCAGTGGCTCAGACCAGAAGCCAGGGGGGCGCTAAAACACAATTCTCTGACTGTATGTTCACTTTTTCCTCTTCCTGCTGCCCCTGAGGTCTCTGGGATTTGCAGGCCAGAATTACAATAGCAGGACTCTTCAGGTTGCTCATCACTTCCTCTTCTTTCTTCCAGGTGCCTCTGGGACTTGCAGGCCACAGCTGCAACCAGCAGTAAGTTTCAGTGGAGGAACAGGTGTTTAACCCCTTTCTCTAGTCCCAGACCCCAGCAGGGTTTGTTGGGGGGTGGACAGTCCCCCCTGTAGACTGGGATGCATCCCCAGCCAGGCTTGGTCCCCCTCCCCACCCCCTTGTCAGCCAGCCCTCATTGCTCCAGCTAGGGAGCAGAGGGGCAGGGCCAGCCCTGCTCTCTAGACAACACAGCACAGCACAGCACAGCACAGGGCTGGAAAGCATGCTGGGATGCTGGGGGACCGAGATTTAACTTGAACCAGGATGGGGTCTAGGACAGAAGTTTCATAAACTGGTTTGACCCAAATCATTTATGCATGATACTACTTTCAATTACATTTATCTTAAGCCAGTTTCAGCCATTTTGAAACTGGTTTACATGCACTGAGTTTCTGTTCTGTTACAGGTTTAAAGAAGTTCTGATTACTTAAATTGGTCTATATGTAAC